CCTCCTGATCCGCCCTGCTCTGTGCATGACAGGGGGCGGCGCCCCAACTCTCCCAATCGCCCTGCTCTGAGCCTGACCAGGGGCTGCACCTAGGGATTGGGCGTGCCCTCTGCCACCTGGGAGCAGGCCTAAGCCAGCAGGTCGTTATCTCCCGAGGGGTCCCAGACTGGGAGAGGGCACAGGCCGGGTTGGTGAACGCCACCCCCCCCAGTGAACAAATTTTTGTGCACCGGGCCTCTAGTATTTAAATAAAAGGAATCAAAGACATTCAAATATTCTTGTTGTAAAAAGAAAAATATATTAAACTTTACATAAGTATATAAACCAGAAAGGGAAATCATTGGGTAATCCTCTTAATCCAGGTTAGAGTAATTTGCCTTATTGATTCAACAATATATCAAGGGCATCTTTCTGTCAGTAAAAATAGATCCCGATGACCCTTTTTCTTTAATTCTTTTCTCCCCCCCCCCCCCCCACTGACCCTTTTTAATGGCTTCAGAATATTCTATTGTTTGGATGTATTATAATTTATTTAGTCAGTTCTTATTGTTAGAATTCACATTATTTCTACTTTTTCTGGTTATAAAAATAATGGTTATTCTCATAATACATCTTCACCTACTTCTTTTAGAAGTGAACTTGTTGATATACATATTGCTAGCATGCCTTCTACAAAAACTGTAGCAGTTTATAATTCCCACTAGCAGTTTATGACAGGAGCAAAAATAATTGTCTAAGGCGATATCTAACCATTCTTCACGAAAACAGCCAAAAGGAATTTGCTAGTTTAGCAATTAGCAAATGTTTTCATGTTGCTTTGCTGTACAAAGGGACGTGGGTAGAACTAGAATTATTGTGCATTCAGTCACCAAAATTCCTACTTACTAACTGGGGTGGAAGGGCTACAGGAGGTTAGCCTAGAAGTGAGAAAATGAGGAAAACAAGTCTTTTGCATGGAGATGAAAGAGTAAGTCAACTGAAGCAGATTTCCTCCAGTTTGCCAGGCTGAATGACTTGCAGTGCCATCTTCTGGCAAAGAAGCCCAAAACTTTCAATTTACCGTACATGCTGGGTGGGAATCAAGTTTGTCTTCTAAGCAGGACTAAATCAAAGACCCACAGGAGAACCCAAAGGTCTTGGTGTTGTTGTGTTGGGAAAGGGATGAAGGGGAAGGAGACAGATTTCTTTGAAGTAAAGATCTAAATCATTTGACCTCTGAGGTCTCTGGCAAAATCAGAAGTCTCTCCAAGCTACATACAACTTGTGTACAACAGATACACCCTGGAGTTGTACCATCCTTCTTCCGCTTCAAGTTTGTAATTTCCAGTATCTTGGGATAAGTCACTTTAGCTGTAGGAAAACCAGGACAACACCCTTATTAGGAAATATGTTTCTATCTTAGAAAGTCCTGCAGTGAAGAAAGGTATTTAGACTACCACCCCTTTCAATATACTGACAATGAATTTATACACACATTAGATGTATAGATGTAGATTATCACATTATAACTTAAAAATTTTTTTCGAGGCTTAAAATTACTTTTTTGTTTGAATCATCCAAAATATACTAGAAAAAGGCTTGCTTTTTAAAGCAAAATTACTTTTAAAAATGTGGCATCCCACCCAGCCGGTGTGGCTCAGTGGTTGAGCCTTCACCTAAGGACCAGGAGATCAGTGGGGGTCTTGCAGGAGGCAACTCATAATGATTCTCTCTCATCATTGATGTCTCTCTCTCCCCCTTCCTCTCTGAAATCAGTAAAAATATATTTTTTTAAATGTGGCATTTTTAAATAAATAAAAGTCTTCAGGTTAAAAAAATTATTTTTGCAGTGTCTTATGTCTGGGACAAATTTATAGTATGCTTTATTTCAAATCAACTTCTGCCATACTACTTCAAACTACACACTCCTTTTTTCCTTTTCAACATTCCTGCTCCC